CTCTCATCGATGTTTCTAACTCTCTATCCCTCTCCCTTCCTCTCTGTAAAAAATCAATAAAATATATTTAAAAAAAAAAGAAACAAGAAACTATGGCTCGTCCTATATAATAAAAGCTTAATATGCAAATCGACCTAACAGGGGAACAACTGGTGGAACGACCGGTCGCTATGACGTGCACTGACCACCAGGGGGCAGATGTTCGATGCAGGAGCTGGCCCCAGGCCAGCCAAGGCAGGTGCTAGCAGGGGACCCCCTCCCCCCACCCCCCAATTGTCCCACAGTCGCCCCACAGAGGGAAGCGACTGGCGGTGGCGGTGGCGGCGGTGGTGGCGGACAGGGCTAGTGATCGGGCAGCGCCAGGCCGGCCAAGGTGGGTGCCAGCAGGGGCCCCCCTGGTTGTCCTGCTGGTTGCCCCACTGATTGGCCCTGATTGCTGGTCAGGCCTAGGGACCCTACCCATGCACAAATTTCATGCACCGGGCCTCTAGTTATTTGAAAAAATGTCTAGAAAGTGAATTTAAATTTACCTACACAATGGATTGCCATCTAGACTCAATAGAGTCCTTCATCCTACAAGTCTGTGCAAGTTGTAATGAGATTATGACATTTACTGGTAGGTGATTAAAATCTCTTGAAACTGATTTGTAATTCTAGGAGTTTTATTTTTTAAAAATATATTTTTTTTATTGATTTCAGAGAGGAAAGGAGAAAGAGATCAAAACACCAATGATGAGAGAGTATCACTAATTGGCTGCCTCCTGCATGCCATGCTGGCTGCGCTAATTCTTGGAGTTTTAAACCATTCCTTCTCTACAAGTGCTATAATCCTATATAATAAAAGCCTAATATGTAAATTGACTGAACCTCGGAACGACCAGTTGGCAGGGGATGGGGCTGGCGAGTGGGTGACACCAGGCCAGCCAAGTCGGGTGCCAGAGAGGTGATTGGGGGACAGGGCCAGCTGCTAGCAGAGGGAGGCCAGCCGGCGCTATCCCCTGATCAGCCTGCTAGTCGCCTCTTGCAGAGGGAGGCCAGACTGCAGCTTAGGCCTGCTCCCCATGGGGAGCGTCAGTCGGACATTGCCTGAGGGTTCCCAGCCTGCAAGAGGGCGCAGGCCTGGCTGAGGGACAACCGCCCCCCCTCTAGTGCATGAATTTTTGTGCACCAGGCCTCTAGTTCTGAATATAACTATCTAATGAAAAATCACATCTGGACCAAAGTATCTTGTTTAATTTCCACACCTACCCTAAATCTAAATTCCTAATTATGTAAATGGTCAAATAATTTCACAGGAAATGGATTGAAGGCAAATACTTTAGAAGATGGTGTATATTTAAATTTGACTCTCACATCCTTAGTTCTATCCCTTTCTTTTTTTTTCTATCTCTTTCTTGACCCTCTCCCTTTGACTATTGAGAAAACCTGTTGTTACAACCAGTGTAACATTTTCATATTGAAATTTGTGTTAGCATAATCCAACTTTCTCCACTGCTATAGTTTCAGATCTTGTAGGTATCTTTTTTGAGTTACATTATTAAAATGGTTAAAAAGTGGGACAAAGGTTTCTCTCTCTTTTGCTGGCTTAGTAGAATATAGGCTAAAGTTCACCCAGCAGCTCTGACATAAGCTCTGCTGATTAGGTAGTAGGTAAGGCTAGATTCCAAAAGCAAAGCTGCCTTGTACTCCAACTTGATTTCGTTGACTGTGGTTTGGAATTCTTTTCCAGATTTTTTTTTTTTTTAACATGTACTACTTTTTCTCAGCTTTTTGTCTGGGTTAATTTAGAGGAGGTTTTGTGTATATGCTGTAGGTGTGTGTGCAGCAAAGGTAGATTAGTGGGTAAGAGTTTAAAATGGTTTAATCTGTAAGCTAATGAGCACCACCTGTCTTATTTACATATTTGTTTCTTTTTTCTTTTTTTTGTCTGTCTGTATTTAATCCCTCCCACTGAGCGTTCCCAACCAGTTTGTTCCCCACTCTAATCCACTTTAGCCTATTTAGCTAGACCTGCCTATTCCTTGGCTCCCCTCCCACTGGAATTTGTACTTTATAGGCAAACTCCTTTTTATACCAGCCTAATTCTCACCTCTTATTTATCTCTACTAAGAATTAATTCTTCCTAGATATTGTTTCACCTGCTGCCATAGAATGTAAACTCCACAAAGACAGGGATTTTTGTCTTTGTTTACTCCAAGTGCCTAGAATGTGTGGCGTTTGGTAGGCCACAGTAAATTTTTTGCTGAATGAAAAATGACTGTGAGCTGATGGTGGAAGAGATTACGGTTTAGTTGGGGAAGCACCTGCTACAGATGCAATGATTAGAGAACAAAACAATAGTTAATAAAGATAAAAAAATTTTAGCAGAGAAGAGAAAGATCGTTTGTAGATGGAATCTCAAAATAAGGCGTTGTGGAAAAGGTTGGAGCCATGATATAAATATAAAGAAGGAAGAGTGATAAATACAGATGATACAGATTTCAAATGATGGAAAAGCAAAGAAGGGAAGTGTATCATTAGTGAAGCAGAAGCACAAGGAATTGAGGAGATAGCTGGCTTCTCTTAATTTACTTGGTGTAGCACTTTGACTTACACGCACTTTTATAATCATTACATCATTTTACTTCCATCTATAAGAACACTGAAATGCACTAAAAGAGTTGTTCATGGCCATTCAACTAGTAAATTATAAACCTGATGATTCAGCCCAAGTCTTTTGACTCCCTTTGTCTTTACAGTAGCGGCTGACTTGGATTGCTTAAAGAAGAAATGCAAATGAAACCAGAGGTCATCCCATTGTGGTTCTGGTACCATTCTACACAGTTTTCTTTTCTTTTTCAATAATATATTGCTTTGCCTTCAAACCAGCAAGATCCTTGGCCACTATTTATGGTCCTCTCCTAACCCACTCCACCACCAGTGGGTTCACATCACTGGTTTGCTGTATGCTTCGGTTACCTTTTTTAAAAATGCAGATGCTGAAGCTCGGCCCCTTTAAATTCTGATTCCGTGATTCCAGGTTGTCTGTCACTCAGGAATTTGCGGGTATATTTGAGCCTCCTCACCTGATTCTAATACCTAGCATAGTTCTGGAATCACTTTTCAATACTGCCAAGTGAATCCCACTTCGGCTGGATCTTTGAATAGTCTTACGTGTAATAGTTCACTCCAGAAGGGTCGCTACCTTCTGGTCTAATATAGACCATTCTTACTTGGAAACTGGGTATGGTTCTAAAGTTTGTTTCTAAACGATGTAGAGAATGTGTTATTTTTTAAACCCAGATAAAACTTTTTTCTAAGATTATGGGACAAAACTTGGAAGATGTTGATAGGGAGAGGAGTAAGGAGTTAGAGGTGCATAGGAAATATGGTTGGTCATTAATATGAAAACAAGGGAAGAAAGAGCAGGGTGGTGTTTTTTTTTTTTAATTGAAAGTTGTACCCTAGCTGGTTTGGCTCAGTGGACTAAGTGTCGGCCTACAGACCAAAGAGTCCCAGGTTCAGAGATTCCAGTCAAGGGCACATACCTTGCTTGCAGGCTCCTCCCGGGCCCAGGTCCTGGTCCGGGCATGTGCAGGAGGCAACCAATCAATGTGTTTCTCTCACATCGATATTTCTTTCTGTCTTTCCCTCTCTCTTCACTCTCTGTAAAAATCAGTGGAAAGATATTCTCAGGTGAGGATTAAAAAAAATAAATAGATTGGAAATTATAATTAAGGGATGTTAACCCTGTGCTAGCCTCCAGAACAGCTTGGTTATAGCCTATAGCAAAGTGTTTGGATAAGAGCAGGGCAAAGGTGAGTGTTTAATGCTAGAAAGGAGGCAGGGTAATGCCCAGAATAACTTGGAATTTTTGCCTAGAATTCCCCAATGTTCCTTATTTCTATCCAGAGTCCAAATTGAAAGACCCTCTGTTGGGACTTCTGTTGTGATGGCTTTTGCTCAAAAGATCATCTCATCATCATGCTGGAGAGCCTCAAGTAGTGAAGTGGTTGGGAAGGAGGAAGAATAGCTGGTCTTTGTTATCCCCAGGGTAGGGGTTTTCTTGGCGGAGTGCGCTATAGACTTATTCTGTGAGAAAGGCTGAAAATAACATGTGATGTGGACTCTTTTATTTATAACTGGAGGCCCAATGCACAAAAATTTGTGCAAGAGTAGACCTTCCTTCCCCCTGCTGCCGGCACCGGCTTCCCTCCTCCAGTCGCCGGCAGGCACCGGGGACTTGGGACCCAGGCTGGCTTCCCCTGGGCCACCCGCAGGCACCCGGGACCCCGGCTGGCTTCCCTCCAGCCCTAGCTTCGTCAGGAAGGATGTCCGGAATGATGTCCAGTCTAATGAGCATATTACCCTTTTATTATTATAGATATTCACTAGTGCCCCTTGATTTGATAACATTGGAAACTCCATCTCTCCATAGAAATGTAAGCAGATGTGGCTGAGGAACATGGCTGAGATATATTTGGAATACATTTGGAACTGACATTACAGATTGTTTTGTAGATAACTTATTTCTTAGTGTATGCATTTTCTATTGTTGCCATAACGTATTTCCACAAACTTACAATACAAACACTAATTTGTGCTCTTACGGTTATGTCAGAAATGAGTCTCACTGGGCTAAAATCAATGGTGTTGGCAAGGCTGTTTCATTCTGGGTGCTGGAAGGGAGAATCTATTTCTTTGCCTTTTCTAGAGGCTGCCTGCATTTCTCGACTTCTTCAAAACCAGCAAAATGGGACCAAGTTCTTTTCATGCTGCCATCTCTCTGGTTCTCTTTGCCTCTCTCTTCCCTCTTGTGATTACACTGGGCCCAACTGGATAACCCAGGATAATCTTCTATGTTACGGTCAGCTCATTAGCAACCTTAATTCCATGTGCAGCCTTTATTCCCCTTTGCCATGTAACCTAACATATTCACAGTTACTAGGGACGTGGGCATTTTTGAGGAGCTATTCTTCCACCTCTCACATTTAGTATCCAGATAATCATATGACCTGGTAATTGAAAAAAAAAAGATATGGTAGTGGTCACAATAATAGCCTAGAACACGTTGTTCTAATTTTGTTTTTTTGTTGTTATAAATTCCAGCTTTGTTATATGTAACAGGTACTACAGAAATGCTGTTTTGTAAAATAATTAATTTTGAAATCCCTTTTTCTTATAGGTTATATTTCCCGCAACTTTACAGGGTCCTCTGCTTTGCTGGGTAAGTTTAATTTTTGTTATCATGTTTACATCGCTTTTCAGATTTATTTTGTAATAAAACTGTTTACAAATAAATTTTTCTTCTCTTTTTAGCCAGAACCCATATTAACTATGGAATCAAAGAGGATGTGGCAGTTATTCGAATTAACTCACCCAATTCAAAGGTACCTACTTTAACTTGCTGCATAGTTATTAGTTAGTTAACTACATTCACGAATGTAGTTAGTTATTTCTACTAACTACATTCATGGATCCAGTCTTGAATGGGAAAGAAATCCACCAATCTGGAAGTAATCTTATCATATAAATTTACACTTTTGGTAGTTAAATTAGTTAGTTGGACAAGTTGCCCAAAGAATGGAGTTTTCTGAATCAGAGGTCCTTGTTCAAGAATTCCTTCTCATTGCCCTAGCTGGTTTGGCTCAGTGGCTAGAGCATCGGCCTGCAAACTGAAGGGTCCCGGGTTTGATTCCAGTCAAGGCACATGCCCAGGTTGCGGGCTCGATCCCCAGTAGGGGGCATGCAGGAGGCAGCCGATCAACAATTCTCATCATTGATGTTTCTCTCTCTGTACCTCTCTCTCTTCCTCTCTCTCTCCCCTTTCCTCTCTGAAATCAGTAAAAATATATATTTTTTAAAAAAGAATTCCTTCTAGTTAACCTAGGTGTCAGATTACCATCAAGGATTAATAAAACTAGCCTTCTGTCATAGTGTAGAATGATGACTTATTAGATAAGGACCAAAATACAAGCTTTGTTTATAAGAATCAAACTACCCATCTTAACTATGAGGTTGTTGAATCTGGTTTCTTCATTACCTGCTTGACATTAGTTATTATCTATAAGTTAGCTGGGTTAAATGTGGTTGTTAAGCTTCCTGAGGGATGTGAATGACTTCGTGCTATTCACATATTGGAGGTCAAGTTCTGTTCAAAGTGGAGCTTTATTTGTTTTGGGCAACTTCAACAAAGCAGATAGCATTAATCCAGTCTTTTGCCAAAAGGAGCTTTATTGCAGGAGCTCATGGTTTTCCCCCCATCTAAAACTGGTGTAAAGGTTTTTTATTCAGAAATCTTGTTACCAGAAGCCCAGATGAAATAGGAAGACCTAGATGGAAGCAATGAACTATCACAAATTAAGGAAAACAGGAGATAGTTCCCATCTCTAGAGTAAATCTTGGCACTCACTGACCAGTGATTCAAACTTAGATATTTTTTCAGATTTTTTTTAAGTTGAACATTTTTCATGAGCACGAAAAATAACATATGGCTATTGTAGGAATTTTTAAAAATATATATTTTATTGATCTTTTTACAGAGAGGAAGGGAGAGGAATAGAGAGTTAGAAACATTGATGAGAGAAACATCGATCAGCTGCCTCCTGCACACCCCCCGCTGGGGATGTGCCCGCAACCAAGGTACATGCCCTTGACTGGAATCGAACCTGGGACCCTTCAGTCCACAGGCCGATGCTCTATCCACTGAGCCAAACCGATCCAGCAAGCTATTGTAGGAAATTTTAAAACTACAGTAGGTCCTCGGGTTATGTCGGAGATCCATTCCTATGGTGCAACATAACGCAATTTTCGCCATAAGTTGGAACCCACCTACATAAGCACCTACGTCACTCACATGGAGCACATACACAGCAGTAATGAAGTGAAACAGTAAAAAGAAATTTAAAAGAAAGATAACAATTCCTGACCTTTACTTGTGGTAAATAAATAATAAAAAACATAAAGCACATATGTCAAAATGCCGGAACTTTTTTTTTTTTTATAAATAAATGGAAGATGGCAACGTAACCACAAAATGACGTATGTCGAATCGGACGTAACCCAAGGACTGTCTGTATAAAGAAAATATAATTATTTCTATTCCAAACCCAAAAATAACTACTTTAACATTTCATCCAGTTTCAACAGTGTTTATGAAATTAAGATCATACTATGTATCTAATTTTGATTCTTTTTTTCCTTAATGTTATATAAATTTTTTCCACGTCAGAAATGTTTGTACACTTATCAGCCAGGCTGAATAGACCTATTTTTAAAGGGTGGTATGCTTATAGCTGACTGAATAGAAAACTACAGGGTATTTGGTTTTTTTATAAGAAACCCTGCCTCCCTTTCTTGCTTCTAGCAGTATATTTCTGGTGGATAAACATATTTTCTACCATCAAAATAGCACCTGATAGTGACTTGCACATCTGGTTCTTCAAATTGACACCCTTGGATTTATATGTATTTCTCTTTGACAGGTAAATACACTGAATAAAGAACTACAATCAGAGTTCATGGAAGTAATGAATGAAATCTGGGCTAGTGATCAAGTCAAAAGTGCTGTCCTTATTTCATCAAAGCCAGGCTGCTTTATTGCAGGTGCTGATATCAAGTAAGTTTTATTAGAGTTGATTTAAAAATTTAAAAAGAGGGGCTTGTTGCTTAAGCCATGTAAGACTAAAAATAGCCTTTTCTTAAAGCAGTTGAAAACAGTTCAAATTCCTATCTCAGTCGAATAAAAATATTATAAAATTAAGCTAACAATGAGATGCTGTTTAAAAGTTTGGAAATTATCATTTTAGCAAGCCCTTGGAGAAATGAGAAAGTTAATATATTACTAATTGGAATGCCAGTTGTACAGCCACTTTGGAGAGCAATTGGCAGCATTAGCAAAATTGAAAATGCATGTACCATAAAATCCAGTGATGCCTCTTCTAGGTATATATGCTAGACCAGGGGTGGGCAAACTTTTTGACTCGAGGGCCACAATGGGTTCTTAAACTGGACCGGAGGGCCGGAACAAAAGCATGGATGGAGTGTTTGTGTGAACTAATATAAATTCAAAGTAAACATCATTACATAAAAGGGTACGGTCTTTTTTTTTTTTTAGTTTTATTCATTTCAAACGGGCCGGATTCGGCCCGCAGGCCGTAGTTTGCCCACGGCTATGCTAGACAAATCCCACCCTTATGTTTAAGAACCCATGCACAAGGATGTTCAGTTCTGTACAGTTTAAAATAGAATTTGAAACAAGCTAAATGTCAGTCATTTGGGAAATGGATAATTAAAATGTGAAATATTCACATGATAAAATACTACAAAACAGTTCAAAGGAATTAACTAGATCCACAACATAATATTAGAGCTCAAAAACATAATGTGAAGTTAGAAATAAAAGGCAAGTTATTGAGTGTTTCCTACAGTATATAGTTTATGTAAAGGTTTTTAAACCATACACGAAATATTCTTTATATTTTTTGTGGACACAGATAAGTAGTTGCTCTGGAAGGATACAATACAAACATGAAAATGGTTGTTTCAGGGTAAATGAAGTGGCTGGTAGGACTTGAGGTTGTCAAAGGGAACTTTATTGATGCAACTAAAACTTTCTTTTTTTAAGTGGTAGATTGTATACCTGTAAAACTTGTTTACAATTCTTTAAGACATATACAGTATAAGCAGAAGAAATTATATCTTAGTGTTAGTTTAATGGGTTAAAATGTGAACAGTTGCCGAAACCGGTTTGGCTCAGTGGATAGAGTGTCGGCCTGCGGACTGAAAGGTCCCAGGTTCGATTCCGGTCAAGGGCATGTACCTGGGTTGCGAGCACATCCCCAGTAGGAGATGTGCAGGAGGCGGCTGATAGATGTTTCTCTCTCATCGATGTTTCTAACTCTCTATCTCTCTCCCTTCCTCTCTGTAAAAAATCAATAAAAATATATATATATATTTTAAAAAAATGTGAACAGTTAATTCTGTCAAAATAGGGGTATTTATTATTCTTTGTGCTTTGGGCAATGTTGGCCAATATTATAGGCTTAATAATTTGCACTTAAGGTGTTTGTATATTTTTAAACCTTGCTGTAACATTGTGTATCCATTTTTGTTTGTGTAACTAAAAATTTATAAATATTCTGTTTAATGTTTATTTTTTAGGAAAAGATTATGTGTATTGAGTGCTTTGTTTCCTAGTTCAGTTATTTGAGACTAGTGAGACACTACTATACCTGGCAGTAACTAGCTACATCCATAAGAAAATACTTTTGGCTTCCATAAGGCTAGTTGAGCAATTCCCAGCATATAAAATGACAGAAAAATAGTTGTCTTTGGTCAGAAGTACAGAATTCACAACTTAAATGTGATCAGAAACAAAGTAAGTAGGAAATGAAACAAACTGAAATTAAAGGGCATGGTTTACATTATTGCAGCAGACCTTTTTTGATCGTTAGGGGATCTATTTAAGATTTTAGATCCCTCTAAACAACTTGAAAGCTTTTTTTCCCCTGCCATTTTGATTGCTGTTTAATCTGAAAGCTACCTCATAGTGGAAATATTTACTAGAAGATGATTTTTCTCATGTTCAGAGCTTTTTAATCTAATGATTAGTTATTGAAGCAAAAATAAATTGTGCCACATGTTTTGTTTCATGTTCTCTGGATCCAGAAACTTAACACTCTTTTTAGAGAGACGATGTCACTGATATTAGTGCTGTCTGAGGCAGATCCATACTTAAACTTGTGAGTATTTAAAGATTCACCACCACACATTGATATATGATAGGATTGAGGATATAGTAGATGAAGTACTTAACAAAGTGGGCTACAGTTTCATCTTTGATTTTTTTCTGTTCTCGGCTTTCATGTTTACTGCAGCATGATAGCCGCTTGCAAGACCCCTCAAGAGGTAACACGGCTTTCACAAGAAGGACAGAAAATGTTTGAGAAACTTGAGAAGTCTAATAAGCCTGTTGTGGCTGCCATCAGTGGATCCTGCTTAGGAGGAGGACTTGAGGTATGGGTTTATTACAGAGTCACTGTTTAGCCCAGTGTTAGGACTCACCCACTGTAAACTTTTATAGGCTAGTTTTGCCTGGGAAAGTTCTCAGAAAATCAGCTTTCTTTTTAGTTATCAAACTTCTGGATCTGTTTTAATCCTTAATCTCATGGCACAGAGCATGTGAACCAAGTGTGATGTTTTCATTTATAAATTGAGAAGATTCCAGCTAGATCTCTTAGATGCCTTTCAATTCTAAAACCTGGTTAAAGTTTGCAGGGCAAAGATTCAGAAGTGTAATGCATGCTCATGAGCTAAAGTCTAGTTGAGATACACAAAGCATAATACATGCTTAAGTGCTTTGTGAGTAGTAAAGGTGGTAAATACTAAAAGATTTGAGAGAAGAGATGCTTATTAGACTAGAGCGTGTAGGAAAGAAAGGAAAAAGAAAATAATATTTATCGAGCATTTCTCACATGCTGGCTTCTATGCTAGTCACTTTCACAACAATTAATTAATTAAGGAAAGCTGTGCCTGGTCCTAAAAGATAGGCAGAATTTGATTAACCAGAACGGGGGGTGTGTGGGGGGCATTCCACATATGGTGAGGTGTGAGCAAAGACAAGGGATAAGAGAAGCCTATGAGGACATCACAGGTAGAACTGCTTGATTGAAAAGGAAGTCTGTAGGGTAACGGGCTTCTTAAGCTGGGCTGCGTGTACAGTTGCGTGTGCATTTTTCTATGGAGAGCTCCCATAGCTTTCAGCAGATTTTTAAGGAAATCTTCAGCCCAAAAAAAAGTTATTAAATTGGGGGAAAGTATGAAATAAGGCTGGAAGGGTAAATTGTAGAAAGCATTAAATGCCAGACTAAGAAATTACAGTTTATTCTGTGGGCACATTCCTGGTCTAAAGAAGTAATCTTTGGACCCTCACAGATCCTAAGCTGTTATAAGATTACATTTTCTAACATTCCAATTTTCTTTTCATTTGTTCAAAGCTTGCCATTTCATGCCAATACAGAATAGCAACAAAAGATAAAAAGACAGTATTAGGTGTCCCTGAAGTCTTGCTGGGGATCTTACCAGGAGCAGGAGGCACACAAAGGCTACCCCAAATGGTGAGTTTAAGACCCCCCTTCCCCCACTGTGAACTTCAGAACCTTGGTGCTTATGTGCCCCTTTGGTAATACAAAAGGCATAGTATTGGGTATTCATTGTAGGATTTAGAAATCAAATAAAATACAAATATTTAGGATCAATAGCAGATTTTTCCTGGTATTTATTTTTTTTCAATTTATTTTTTCATTTATTTTTTCATTTATTTTTTCAGTTTCTTGGATTAAAATTATTAATCAAGGTTCTTTGTTAGTCCCTGAGGAAGGATAAAGATAAATAAGATACATGTCTTGCCTCTTTGAAGCTTATAATATAATCAGCTCCTTCTCTGCACAATAACATCTTACCAGTTTTGCAAATCCATGGGTCATATTTCATGATAAATATAAAGGCAGACATTTCCCCTGATTTGGATGATCTCATTGTTGTATTGTATAGAACCAAAAGAGGCCGATTGCAGAAGTTACCTAATACACTAATGTGTATTAGTATGTAAAATATAAGATAAAATATAACTGATTGATAAATAGCAGTGGTTAGCCTTTCCTCACTTTAGTATTTATTTTGCTCAGTTGAAGGATTTGTAAACTGTAATTGTCACTCTGATATTTTTTCCCCTATGTTCTGATCCTTACTTGCATGTTAGGTGGGTATACCTGCTGCTTTTGACATGATGCTGACTGGTAGAAACATTCGTGCGGACAGAGCAAAGAAAATGGGATTGGTTGACCAATTGGTGGAACCGCTGGGTACGTGTTAGCATGCCTCAGAGTTGGGCCTTATGAAATTATTTATTTCCTTAAAGAGTTAATATCTTGCATATTGGTTAGAGTGGAACTCATACTCTTAAGGAATGAGTCATCATTTTGAAGAGTGAAGTTTTCTAAAAATTATAATACTGCCCAGCCAGCATAGCTCTGCGGTTGAGTGTTGACCTATGAACCAGAAGATCATGGTTCGATCCCGGTCAGGGCACATGTCTGGGTTGCAGGCTCGATCCCCAGTAAAGGGGTGTGCAAGAGGCAGCCGATCAATGATCCTCTCTCATCACTGATGTTTCTATCTCTCCTTCTCCCTTCTTCTCTGAAATTAATAAAAAATATACTTAAAGTAATAATAATAAATAAACAAACAAACAGATATCCTCCTGTTGTGGGTTTCTAGTTTAATTTTGTTGTGGTCAGAGTACAATTAGTCTTTATTTACAGTTTCCCCATCTGTCAGTGCATAGTTCATGATTCCTCCACCCACCAGTCTCTGATCTGACGTGGAAAGCTGTGCTGAAAGTGGGTGCTAGAGCCTTTGGCTTTGGCATGCCTAGGTTTTTGCCTACCTGGGACTCATCTAAAGCTGATTTGCATTCCAATCTCTTGTGTTTGTTTTTGCAGGACCAGGATTAAAACCTCCAGAGGATCGGACAATTGAATACCTAGAAGAAGTTGCAGTTACTTTTGCCAAAGGACTAGCTGATAAGAAAATATCTTTAAAGAGAAGCAAAGGATTGATGGAAAGTGAGTGTTGTTATTAAAGAATAAAGGCAAAGCTTCTTTCCAGGGAGTTTCGTTTTATTTGCTGTAAATTTTAAGTGAGGATAGGGTAAATGCATTATTTTCTGGAAGCATAAAGTTAACCTTAAGGGATATAACAACTCTGCTCTAGGGTCAAGTTCTGAACCTTATACTCGTAAGTTAAAACTATTTTTTTTAACTTTTTATTTTGGAACATTTTAAACATTAATACAAAAGAATTCTGTAACAGTGTATATTATACTATTACAACGCCCAGCTGAAGCACTTATCACATAATGAAGCTATGTTTGAAGCTGTGCTTAGGTTGAAATGTAGATTTTGTATATCAGAGTAAAAAGCAGTTCTTTCAGAACTATTGAATTTTTATGGAGTTTACAGAACAAACTAACAAGAAATGCTTATTGCCAATAAGTATCTAAAAGCTTTTTACCTTACAGGATTGACATCGTACGCCATGGGTATTCCATTTGTCAGGCAACAGGTTTACAAAAAGGTGGAAGAACAAGTACGAAAGCAGACCAAAGGCCTCTATCCTGCACCTCTGAAAATAATTGACGTGAGTCTTTTCCCCTCTCAGATTTCTTATATTTTCCTCCTTTGTATAGCACAATACTCTTTAATAGCACAATACTCTTTATTGCCATTCTGGACTATATATGCCAGTACAGAAGTTCTTAATTCTGCCATTAAAGTACTCACCAAAAATAAGGATTCATATAAATTGGTATATTTGGGGATAATTAGTGCCAGGCATATTTATTAGTTGATGAGTTTAACGCTGTCAATTATAAACCAGGATGGAACCTATGTCATATCAATATATCAAGGCCAGTAAAATATTGAGCTTGTATAAAGAGTTGAAACAAAACTGATGGCTATATTCTATCCTTAGTCGAAACCATTGTCTGTACCTACAGTGTCTCACTGACTTTCCCGTTGCCATAATTATACAAGAGATGTAATGATATAGGAAAGTTCTGAAAAGAACAAAGAATAGGTGAAATGATCAGAGGGTTAAAGAAACTTCTATCTAAAGATAGACTTTAAAACAGAACTCTCCGATCTGGAAAGTCTGAGATTAAGAGAGCATATAATTAAAGACCTCAAAATTGGAGAATGGATTAGCCAACAGATATATTTTGGGCAGAAGACACCAAAGAACATAAAATATGAAACATAATCCCCTGCCTCCATTCATCTCACAGTCGGGGCTGGGAAGATTAGACATATGTATGTGGTAAGGCAGATAACAGTGTGAGGGACATTATAGAGCAGCATAGGATTATTGCCAGATACATGGGATGGAGGAAAATTGCTGAGTGCTCAGAGGAGGGAATAATCACTGTGAACCAAAGAGGTCAGGAAGAGCAGGATTTGACCTGAGCCCTGAGAAATGGGTAGAGAGTAGGTGAAAGGAAAGTGGGGCCAGGTCAGGTGGGCATTTTGAGTAAAGTTTCAGAAAGTAAGAAGCACCAAGCTCTTCAAGGAACTTTATTGAGATTAGGTGTTGTAGGAGGACAGTGAGATGTCTGCAGAAAGGCAGATCAAAGCTAGATTGCAGAAGGTTGGTCAATAATGAGTTAAGAAATTTGTTCTGGCCCTGGCCGGTTGCTCAGTGGTCAGAGTGTCGGCCTGCACGCTGGAGGCCCATGGGTTCGATTCCTGGTTAATGGCACCTGGGTTACGGGTTCGCTCCAATCTAGTTTTTAAAAACTAACAACACTAGCCCTGGCCAGTGTGGCTCAATTGGTTGGGTGTCATCCTGGTCACTGAAAGGTTGCCCGTTCAATTCCTGGTTGGGGCACGTGCCCGGTTATGGGCTTAGTCCCTGGTAGGGGTTGTGCAGGAGGCAGCTGATAGATGTTTCGGTCTCACATCAATGTTTCTCTCTCTCTGTTACTCTCCCTTAAAAATCAAATAAACTTTTCTTTAAAATAAGTAAAGAAAGAAGCTAAAAATAAAAATTAACAACACTAGGCTGGCTTGGCTCAGTGGTTGAGCGTCGACCTGTGAACCAGGAGGTCACAGTTCGATTCCCCGTCAGGGCACATGCCTGGGTTGCTGGTGCAATCCCCAGTGAGGGGTGTGCAGGAGGCAGCCGATCAATGATTCTCTCTCATCCTTAATGTTTCTATCTCTCTCTCCCTCTCCCTTTCTCTCTGAAATCAATTTGAAATATGTATGTATATATGTGTGTGTGTGTGTGTGTGTGTGTGTGTGTTTAAACAAAAACTAAAAAACTAACAACACTAGTAATTTTATTCAGCCTTCTCTGAATAAATCCACTCCAACAGTGAACAAGTATTTTGTATGTTTTTTAGGTGGTCAAGACTGGACTTGAGGAAGGAAAAGAAGCTGGCTATCTTTCTGAATCTCAGGTAAAGTTTTTTCTTGTGATTTTTGCTTATTAGATATAAGAAAACCAAAGATCTGAGAATGTACAAAACTGAAAAAAGAAAAATATTCAAAGCCTAGTAAAACATTTCCTCCAGTGGTTATCATTTTTTCTGATTAATCTCAGTAGGCAAGTAGATGCAAGAAAACCTGGTGGTCCCCAACTATTTGAACTTGCTCTCAATAACAAAGGTATAACAAGGAAGAGCAGGGGCAGAGTTACAATTCTTTCGAATGAATAGTTTGGACATTTTGTGCTGAAGTCGGTCTGATTGTATTGTGATAAAATGATACATTGATAGAAAAGTATAGTCCTTACTTGTTAGGGCCTAGCGATAAAACTTTGAATTAGAAAATGAAAGGAAATGTTTTTTTGCACCCACTAAAAAAAAAAAAAAGAGAAAGAAAAAAATAAATTAATTTTTAAAAAAAATAAATGAAAGAAGAGAAGGGATACAGGAACCAGCCTCACTCCTTTTACTTTCTGAGTTGGTGATATGGCAAATTTCAGTGGTTTGGGTTGTTTGTTAGTTCTAAGCAATCATTGAAGAATGATTGCTCTTTGGTAATAGGACAAAAGGTATGGGAAGAGCTTAGGACAAGTTCCAGAGAAAACATGTCTGTACTTACTGCTTACTGCAGTGCACTTCTGATTTATTCTCTTCCATCAGTAAAATGGAAGCATATTTTATGCGTCAATAATTGTCCACCCTGCATGTGTTGTTCTAGGTATTTCCTGTCTATTCTACTTAGCACTACCCACTAAATTCATGAACACTGATGGATTTCTACCCACACTTTGAAAATCACTGGTTTATTGAATCACTGCTAAATCAAGATTAGTAAAGCATTGATTCTGTAGAACAGTGTTTCATGTTTTATGAGGACATGATAGCAACTTTATTAGAGGGATTCCTTCTTTGGAATACTATTTGGAACCTTGTAATTATAACAATAAATTCTAGTGATATTGGTGATGACAATAGCTAACATTGAGACCCTAGTCGTTTTACTAGTGTTCTCATTTAATCCCCACAGTACTGTTAAAAGAGGCATTGTTTTCCCATTTTAAGGATGAAGAAAGCTTCACAAAGAGCCAGGATTCAAACCCAGTTCTGTCAAACCAGACTCTAAAGCTCATGCTCCTCACCACTAACCTGAGACTTGTTCTCCATAAGTGGTAATATACTTTTTAAAGTAGTAGGTCCCATGTGGGCCACCTGCTACAGTGGCAAGAGAACTGGAGTTGAAAGTCATACTGCTTGGGTTCAGGTTCCATTTCTGCCACTCTGAGACAGTGTGACTTTGAACAAGGTCATTTAATTTTTCTGGGCCTCCTCTTCCCTATCTTTAAACCGAGAGGGTTGCTTGAGATGATCATGAAGATCCATTTTGGCTCTGACACACTAATGCCATGAAAAAGGCTACCATGACTCTAATGTAGAGAATGAGCTCAGTTATACCCAACACCTTTGAAAGCAGTAGTCGGAAAGTGCTGCAGATGACAAGAGTAAAGAGAAGACACATCCATAGGAAACAGATGCCAGCACAGGCACCACTGAGACCCCGAGGACCTGTGGCTTTGCTTGTGTTACCTCTGTTCCCCAGAGAAACCAAACGGAAGGAATCCATATCACCGAGACTGTGAAGTTCTACTTTTCCTTGTTCTTTTGTACATTTCAGAAATTTGGAGAGCTTGCGATGACCAGAGAATCAAAGGCTTTGATAGGGCTGTACCATGGTCAGGTCCTGTGCAAGAAGAATAAATTTGGAACGCCACAGAAGGAGGTTAAGTAAGTTAAACTCTACCCAGGAAGCCCTTGTGGACTTCCCCACGTGCTAAGCTTGTAGATGTCTTTTTTTTTTTTTTTTTTGTAGATGTCTTTGAAGAAGATCTACAGAGCTAGATTTATGTCTTCAATCTTGCCATAAACTACCTCTGTCCTGGGCACATTAGATCCCTATTCCTACCAAGAACTTTTTGGCTTTCTTTTCAGTGATCTCGGCATGATTGAAGATCAATATGATTCGATCTTCTTGGGTAGTCCAATTCTTATAGACCTAAAGGACTTTTGAATTTAACTTTGAAAATCAGTCATTTATTAAAGGTGTATTTTTATAAATAATTATTTGAAATACCTTATGATTGTGTCTGCTTTAGTTGGTTTATTGGATAATAACTTGGGCATTCTCCTGCTTTTACGTAAATGATTAAAAGTTGTTTACTAGAAGTCGTTTTATCCTTGCCTTTCAGGCACCTCGCTGTTCTTGGTGCAGGGCTGATGGGAGCTGGCATTGCCCAAGTCTCTGTGGATAAGGGCCTAAAGACTATACTTAAAGATGCTACACTAACCGGGCTGGGCCGAGGACAGCAGCAAGTGTTCAAAGGGTAAGCCTGCTTTCTGCCATTGCCAGGAGTTAGAATGGTTTTAGTGGTTTTTTGCCATCATTGATTCCTTTTTGCTGAACATGATGAGTACTAGATGCTCCATAGTTGAGCTATGTTTCCTTTGATCTTGTTGTTGTTAATCCTCACCCGAGGATATTTTTCCATTGATTTTTAGAGAGAGTGAAAGGGAGGGGGAGAGACACACAGAGAGAAACATCAATGTGAGAGATGAATAAATTTGGAACACATTGATTGGTTGCCTCCTGCAGGGATCAAGCCTTCAACCGAGGTACGTGCCCTTGACTGGAATTGAGCCTGTGACCCTTCAGTCCAACTGTGGAGGCTCTATGCACTGAGCCAAACCGGCTAGGGCTGATTTTTTGAAATGCTAATTCCTTCCTTTACTTCATGTTGTCACAGATATTATAAACCATTAGTATTATCAGACTCTGTAGTCTTTGAGTGCAGAAGAAAAATATTTATCTATTAGATATTTTTAAATGACATTTATTTTGTACTTTGGTATCAGACTGAAAATTGTGAATTTGATAGTTTCCATGTAATAGCTTATTGTTATGGACTGTCTTTGTGGAGAGAACTGAGGTTAGGAATGAGGAAATGCGAGTAACTGCACGTTGAAGGTAGCACTGGGACCAGAACTCTTGAGCCTTGTTGACTGGCGTGACTGTGGAGAAGCAGTTGATTGATTTGGTTCCGCAGTGTCTGAGGCTTTATAAGACTGTCTCCATCTTACCTCTGAATTAATAAAGAGTAAATATTATTCTCCCTCTGCTCACCTAACCCTCTCCCCACACACACCTGCTGCCTGTTTTGCAGAGGGGAATAGTGGAGCAGCAGCCTCTCCAGATGGGAATTGGTTTCAGCTCAGTTCTCTGCTCCACTGTAATGGACAGGCTGGCTGCACTTAGAATACCTGCATGTGACTTTGAGCTGAGTGAGCATTTGTTTGTTTCTCAGGTGGATTAGATAGCTTAAAGCATGTTTTTACCCCTTTTCTGCAGAGAAGCTCATCTATTGCTACCAGGGACCTGGCAGATTTAATCATTTTGGCAGATTATTTTAAAATAACAAGGAGTTGGAGCAAAAGAAAGCACGTGTGCTAGACATCAGCATCGCTCTTAGACTAGCCTGCAAGCGCCCCACACCATTTCATAGTCACCTAGTGAGAAACTGCTACTCTAGAACAGCTTCCTCCCTGGATCTCTTTTGGGTCCAGGTGTCCTGGTTTCCCTTTTGCCTTAGAAACACCAGGCTCCGGTGAATGCCCCTCACCAGACTGCTAACTTGGGACCTACATGGATCCTGTCCTCCCTCAGAAATAGTTTCACTAGGCATTGGCATTAGAGCAACTGAATATATCTTGAACTCTGACAAGTTGTATTGTTTGCTGACATGGTTTTCAGAAACCAGGAGGTTTGAACCCATACTTTTAAGATTTGCATACTTCTTTGAACTTACCTTGTGGCTTTAATTTTTCTTTTTGGTTAAGGAAATTAGTGGAGGGGCTTTAGCTTCATTCTTCATTCAAAGGAAAACTCTAGGTCATTTATTCTGAAAATATAGTCAGATGAAAACCTAAGAGAGCCTGTTTTCCTTGGCAATCTATAATAATGAAAGTATAATATGCTAATTAGACTAGACAGCCAAACGACCTTCCAGGCGACCTTCCCGACAAAGATGGGGCTGCAAGGGCCTAGCTCCTTGCACGAATTTCGTGCATCAGGCCTCTAGTAAAAAATAATCAGATAAATGTTTGAGTAGCAGAAATCCTTTTAGCTCTCAGTGGGAAAGAAGAAACCTTGGGTTAATATTTTATGTGATCAATACAATATGCTACTAGGTATTGACTGGAAAGTTGGTTAAGAATATAAGAAATAATTCTTGGTCTCTGTCCTCTAGAAAATTATAAATACAGAATAACCAAATGATTTTTAAGCAAATATAAATCCATATGGTCTCGGACATGGGTTGGCTGAGAGCTGCTCTTAGTTTTGCCATTCTAGTATTTGTGTTTACTCCTCATGGCAAAACTGTTTTATGAATGATACAGTTTATGTAAATTGGGCTCTGAGAGGCATCTTGTAAGAGAAAGAATGTGGACTTGGGGGTTACCTGTCTGAATCCTTGTGCCCTAGATACCCTGGTACCTAGCTCTTTGACCACAAGTCGCTCTGAGTCTTTTTGAGCAAGTCAGCTCCCTCAAAATGGGAATAAGACCTCACAGAGTTGGTGGAAAACATAATATACTCTCTGGCCCATGGACAGTCAATAAATGTTAGTTTCCTACTCTTCCCTTTTGACTAGAAATTTTTTTTTCTAGACTGAACGATAAAGTGAAGAAGAAAACTCTAACATCATTTGAAAGAGACTTCATTTTCAACAACTTGACTGGGCAGCTTGATTACCAGGGTTTTGAAAAGGCCGACATGGTGATTGAAGCTGTTTTTGAGGACATTAATCTTAAGCACAAAGTACTGAAGGAAGTAGAAGCGGTAAGTAAGGGGCCTGAGTACTTGAATCCTAGTATAGTGAGTGGAGGACACAGATATGGGGTTTAAGGAACTACAGGAAACTCATTGTTCTTTTTATGAAGAGCCCAAGCCTAAGTTTTTATGGGCGCTCATGCACGCTGTATGTTGTAAATGTCAAATCTAAGTCCTATGGGAGGAAAATCAAGTAGCTTATTATCCTAAGCACAGGTTTTGTTAGCCGTATATGGGAGTTCAGTCACCCAAGCATACAAATAACCTCATGGAGTAGAGGCAGATTTCTCGCCATTTTGGGTTGACCGTAAGCCGTAACAGAAGTTCTTCAGGTCTAGACAGCAAAGGAAATAGGGAGAAACAATTTCAACAGGCAGGATTCAAATGCCTGCTTTGTGGAAATACTGCTTTTTTAAATATATATATATATTATTGATTTCAGAGAGGGAGAGAGAAATAGAAATATCAATGATGAGAGAGAAGCATTGATCGGTTGCCTCCTGCATGCCCCACACAGGGGATCGAGCCCGAAACCTGGGCATGTGCCCTGACCAGGAATTGAACCGTGACCTCCTGGTTCATAGGTCAACGCTCAACCACTGAGTCATGCCAGCTGGGCTGCTTTGGTCTTTATCCCAAATGCTCTATGTCACAGTTCTTGAGATGGGATGACAGAAACAAAACAAGTACTTGTAATATAAAGAAAGAGCCCAGAAAAGAAGAAATGGCAGTAATCCAGGCATGAGATAGAGGTGATGCCTAGACTAGCCTACAGTTAGACAAACAGAACGTGGGCTAATAAATGATATAAATAAAATGGTGCTGACTTGACAACACTCTAGGTGTTTTGAGTAGTGAGCATTACTCTTAGATGACCGTCTAAACCCACTCCGTTGACATTCTTCACAATCCTTCTCTCCAAACTTCTCACTGTCTTGATTGTCCCCTTTAGTATCTTCATCATGTCTCAGTGCTCTGTTGCCATATGACAAACTACGTGAAAACAATTCACAGTTCTTCAGTTTGGATAGGGCTTCCTAGAGGCGGCTGGTCCTTAACCATGTGGTTTCACTCAGCGTCACTCATGACTGCATTCAGCGGAAAGCTTGGTTGGAGCGCCTCCCAGTGGCCTCCCTCTGCTGGTGGCCTCCCTCACTTAGCAGTCCAGCCAGAACTTCTCTACAGCATGGCTGCTGCCTTCCAAGAGAGCAAACGCAGAAGCCACTGGGCTTAAGGCTAGGCCTGGAACTGGCAGTCACTGCTGCTGCATTCCATTGGTCAAAGCAAGTCACAGGCCAGCTCAGCTTCAGGGGAGGGAAATAGACTCTTCTCCTGGGTGGGAGGACCAGCGGACATGTACAAGAGGGGAGAAGCTCTTGCCAGCCATCTTTGGAGACATTGGTTTGTTCTTCATGAAGAATTTTGCCACCAGCGTTAGACACTGTACCGCCGTATTGTAAGTGGAGACTGCGGTAGCTTTCTTACAGTCGTGCTCTGCTGTCAACTCACATTATACTTTTGATGAACTAAAATCCTGGGATCTTTATCAGGGGATCACTGCCAATTCAGGTCTTGTTCATCAGGTGCCCGTTTAGTTCTTTTTTTCCCTTTTTAAAAAATCTTAATGCAATACTTTATCCCCATTATAATTTATCTTGTTTTACACTCAGCTTTCAGTGTGTTGAATATATCTTGAACCTCGATTTTCATCTTTGATGTTGGGCTTCTGCCTGTCCCAGATTTGCACAAATGCCACAGCTGTGCTTTCCATGTTTTCATCCCGGCATCTGAATACAAACATGAATAATTTGGGATCATGGACAGAATGCTGAGAAGGGTCTACATTATAGACTGTTCTGCAGGTTGATAAAGCTGATAGTTAATAGTATTCATGTACTGTAGATATAATTATAGTGGTGTATCACGTTTTAGTAGCAGAGTATAAAATGAGGTAGGCATGCACTTTATGGCTTATTCTTATAAAGGTGAAGGGTGGGAGTGTCATAAGCTTTCAGACTTGAGTGAAGATCCAAACAAGAAGAGGACTGACACCCATGCTGGATATTGAAATGACTGAGTTTTGATTCAAGGTCACCTTTTTTCAGTGTTTATCTGAAGTGTCTTATTTACGTAACTGTTGGGGTGTAGTCTCCAGGTTAGGATTAGGTGACCTTAGGATGGGCCGTAACTGGAAGGCTGAATGGAAAAGAGAACAAGGCCGACACATTCCTCAACACATGCCCTAGGAAGTCGTAAATGTCAGGCCAGTGTGTCTCTGCAGGCTGCGAGTTCTGGGTGAGAGGATGGGCTGGGCCCGAGTGTCACTCATTACTTGACTTTGGACTCCAGTCACCTCCCAGGCCCACGTGACACATTCTTCAATGCTTTTCCCCTGCAGGTGATTCCAGCTCATTGTGTTTTTGCCAGTAACACATCGGCTCTCCCAATCAATGAAATTGCTTCTGTCAGCAAAAGACCTGAGAAGGTAAATTTTGAAGAGAAAAACCCTGAAATGTCTTACAGCCTCAGACTCATTGAGAAGGGACTGGTGTGGATTATGAAGTGGGTGGGGCTGACAACGTATTCCTCAAAACTGGGCACAAAAAAGCTAGTACTATGACCAGTGTGTTATGCAGGAACAAGTAAAGTACAACTAAAAATGCTTCTATAGGTGATTTGCATCCTCATGGGTATAATTATTCAGGTTCAGACTATGAAACCCACCTTTATTACAATTAGGTATTGAAAAATAGGCCCAAGAAGGGATGCTCCAAAATATCACTTCATCTGCATAGCAGACTCTGGTGACTGACTGTCCAGAACAGGTTTGGTTCCAGTTCCAGACTCAGAAATGAGGATCAGGGGTGTGGTAGGATGTCTCTATCTGTGGGGGTTACTTAGATCTTCGACCCAGGACATGAAAGGGGTGGGTGTGGAAGGACTTTCAGCGATTTGAAATGAGGACCACAGATTGATCTTTGGGCTTCTGCTATCCACCAGAGTAAAATCAAGGGAAAGTGAAAACACTCAAGGATAAATGAAACACCTCCCCTCTTAGGAGGACCCAGTTGGCCTCATCCAACCAGAACCAGCCAAAAGTAGGCAGGAAGTGGAAAAGACTTGAAGGATTTGAAAGGCTAACACATTATCCATGTACTAAAAACACAAAAGCCTCTTTATTCCTTTTCTAATAGTTTGCTAATTTCCTAGCACACAGCAGATTAGGGCCGGATAGAGGCAGGCTCAGTGATGGCAGGAAAAAGTCACAGGGAGAAGTGGCAGCTGATAGTGTGACACTAAGGGAAGACACAACACAGTGTAAAGGCAGGTGGACAGTCTGGCATTGTCACCACACGCAGAGCAACTCCACAGCATTTAAAGTCAGCAGAGGAGCCCTCTTGTTCCTTTGCTGCCACCTCTCGTTCTCCCCAGTGGAGAGGAGCAAGCATCGCGCTTTGCAGTCTAGCCTGCAGGATCTCAGATAGCTCTCATCACCTGATGTCATTCATATGCAAGTAAGGCCAGAGGGACCAACCATCTCAGTTTGCCCAGAACTGGCGTCCTGTCTGTCCCTTCTCCCCCCACAAAAAGTAGACCCTCTCACCTAAACCGTCAGCATTAATACAAGTGGACCCTCCATTCTTCCCTGATAAATCTCATTTGGCCTTTAGCCATGATTTTGGTACCAGTTGTTGGTAGGACCAATTGCCCTCAGTGAAAAGCCCTAGAAGCAGATGGAAGAGGATCCAGTAAGCTCTCTCTGAACATACTGAACTTTTGATCAAAGAACCATGGACCAAACCACTTGACTCTGCCAAGCAGTGCTCCTGGATCACAGCCGCTTTTCTTTCCGGTGCTTCCCGGCGAAAAGAGAAGCTGCGAAGTTTCCTCCTCAGCATGAAACCTGTTGGCTTTTTGTTCCCCTTGCCAGGTGATTGGCATGCACTACTTCTCTCCTGTGGACAAGATGCAGCTGCTGGAGATTATCACAACCGAGAAGACGTCTAAGGACACGACTGCGTCCGCTGTAGCAGTTGGTCTCAAGCAGGGGAAGGTCATCATTGTGGTTAAGGTAAGGAGCTGTGGAACAGAGCAGCAGACTTGGATAAGTTTTATTAAGACTCCTCATACCTCCAGGCTTATTTATAACTCGTTCCTTTTGATAGGACTTCCCCTTGATTGTGTACAGTATGGATAGTGGTGTTGACTGTACCACTGAGTCAGGGTTGGAGTGGGGCAAGTCTGGGACGTGGCAGGTTCCCAGCCTTTCAGGTGGCCACGAAACCACATGCTGTGCTCTTGGATTCCAGCCCTGCTGCTCCTGGCTGTGGCTTCCCTTGCCATTTCATTTTAAGGATTCTGATTGAGGTTATGATCACCTTGAACTCTGAAATGATACCTGGGAAAGGGAGGCTGCTTTCAGACTCGGGTGGTATCTGCAACAGAGGGGCCCCGAGTTCATGTTCTCCCCCTTGGCAGGATGGACCTGGCTTCTATACCACAAGGTGTCTCGCACCCATGATGTCTGAAGTCATCAGAATTCTCCAGGTTGGTATTGCTCTCGGAATGTTTGAGGCCTCTCCCACTCCTTAAACCAGTCCCCCGAACCGCTGATGTCAGGATGAGGAGAAGCTTCCTTCTAATGCACTACCCCTGACTCTTCTCCAAGAAGGCCCTTTCGTGGCATCCCTTTCTGCACGGGGGTGGGGAGCCATAGGCTCTGCTCCCTTAGCCTCTCTCTGCTCCCTTAGTCCACAGGCCTCCCAGCATGCTCTTCTGTGCTGTTTCTGCATCCCCTTAGCAGCAGGGGCCATCCAGGACAGAGCCTGCATGGTCTGATTGGTGTTGTGTCTGCTTCTGTGCAAGCCAATCCCCCCGGTGGCCCTACAGGTCATTCACAGGCACTTAGACACAGGATCCCGGGGCTCTGCAGCACTGCTTCTTGGACTCTCTCTCCTCTCAGTCCTGGGAACCAGCCCTGTCTGCCATGGAATCTTCTGGTTATTGAGATTCAGAATTGCAGACAAGGAAATGAATACCTTTCATCTCTAGACTTCCTTAAAGGTTAGGGAAGGCTCAGACTTTTTGCCTGTGTGACTCCCAAACCTCGTGTTTCCCTGACTGAAACAGTCCCAGTCCTGGGCCTGGCCAGGTGGCAGCCAGAAGAGAAGTGGCTGTTGCACAGGGAGCCCGTGTGGGGGACCAGGGATGGCCTTCCCCTGAGGTCTCTGCTTTCCTTCCCATTCAGGAAGGAGTTGGCCCTAAGAAGCTGGATTCCCTGACCACAGGCTTTGGCTTTCCTGTGGGTGCTGCCACACTGGTGGATGAAGTTGGTGTTGATGTAGCAAAACACGTAGCAGAAGACCTAGGCAAAGCCTTTGGGGAGAGGTTTGCAGGTGGAAGCCTGGAGCTGCTGAAACAGATGGTGGCCAAGGGCTTCCTGGGTGAGTATCCTCAAAGAAACACAACGAGCTCCATCAGTCACAAGTTCCGAACAGCTTCTGGAGACCAAGGAGTTACAGAAGGCCCGTGTGTGTTTCCTGGTATCATAGGGAATTTCAAAAATGACTGCATGACAACCTCTCCTTAGTGTGGGCCTGTGGATTATGGACAAAAGGTAAAGCCCTGGCCTTCTGAAGCTCCGCCACTTCCTGGCCCCAGTTACGCCAGATCGACGAGTATTTTCATCCTGCCCAAGGCCTCGGACATCTGTGACCTGCATTACCATGCTGCTGGCCACCTGTGTGGAGAAAGTAGCTCTACCTACAGAGTGTACAGTTGAGGCCCCCAGAGAGGTGGCTTTCTCTTTTGAAAGTAGCAGCAAAAAGCAGCAAAAGCAGTGCCAGGACCTGGGCATCCCAGGTCCTGGTGTTGCACATCTGGGCATTAAAACTCACCCAGCTGGCCTTTCCCATACAGATACAAAGATGTCCAAACCCTAAGACCTCTCTTCCTGCTCTGTGAGCTTTCTGACAAACACCAGATGTCTAGGGTTAGCTAGATCCAAAACTCGGAAACACAGGCGAGAGGCAGGAGAGGCGGGAGCTTTACCGCAGACCAGCAGGAAGGGAAGTGATTTCTCAGGCCCGGGTTCTAAGAATTTTAACTCTACCTTTTCCTGCTTCTTCTAGGTCGCAAGTCTGGGAAGGGCTTTTATGTCTACAAGGAGGGTGTGAAGAGTAAGGATTTGAATTCTGAAATGGATAGTGTTTTGGCAGGCCTGCAGGTGTCTCCTAAGCCTGAAGTGTAAGTCAATTTGAGTGGCTTATGGCATGGAAACGTTCCTCATCAGCCAAAGCTTCTCAGCCCCTCTTCCGTCTCTGTTATGATCACGGTGCCTGACCAAGAACACCCCCGATGCTGGCACAGTGCTCTGTACTTTGGCCTTCTGCACGCCACCTCATTCTCTGCCCGCATCAGGGGAGAACTGCCGCCGAGCCTTGGTAGACCCCTGCTCCAGCCTTCCCTCGGAAGGTCCCAGAGAGCAGCTAGAAAGACCATTGTCCCAGGCCCCTTTAGTATCATTTGTAATTGACCATTGCTGATACCTAGAGGTGCTTATCTAGTCTGTTGCAGACCCTGTTCTAGGTGCTGTTTCTGGTTAATCAGGGCAAGTAGCTCTACCCACTCTTTTTCCCGGGAAAGGCTGGCCTCCTGGCAGCACCTTCTCTAGAGTTGGAGGCGGGTTCTCACCCCTATGTGGCTCCTGCAACCCTCCCCTCCTCCTCTCCTCTGCCTGAATGTCCCTCCCTGTTGGCAGCTCCTCAGACGAAGACATCCAGTACCGCCTGGTGTCGAGGTTCGTGAATGAGGCCGCCATGTGCCTGCAGGAAGAGATCTTGGCCACACCTGCAGAGGGAGACATCGGAGCGGTCTTTGGACTCGGCTTCCCCCCCTGTCTTGGAGGTGGGCCTTGGAGGTTGGGGAGGTAGCTTGCTTTATCTTAGAGCTCGTATGGCTGTCTCCTTCAACAAAGTCCTGCTTCCCCCTCAGGGCCCTTCCGCTTCGTGGATCTGTATGGTGCTCAGAAGATAGTGGACCGGCTCAAGAGGTACGAGGCTGCCTACGGGAAACAGTTCACCCCATGCCAGCTGCTTATCGACCAGGCTAGCGCTAACAAGAAGTTTTACCAGTGAGCAGCCCACACCTGCTCGCTCCCCACTAACCCACCTGCCGCAGTGCTGGTCTCCAACAGAGTGGCACCTAGATTTATCCGTAACCGGAGGGAAGACAAACACTGGCATTGGGTGTGTGCCTTGATTAAAGTGCCTTCGGCTAAGACTGTCTCTTCCTCCCGGTGAAGTCTGGCTGTGTTTGCACTTCCTGTTGGAAGGTGGAACCCACTGTGCTCACGAATCTATGAGCCCAAAGACCCAAAGTGGCAGCGTTCCTCCCAGGAAGCCAGTGGTGGCGAGGGCAGTCACACACTCAGCCAAACACAGGATAATAAAAACCAAACTTATTTATCAGCCTCCCTGCCTGCTTGTTCCTTTTTCTACTGTCTTTGCCCTTCTGGTTTAAACCCCTCCTTCAAGGAGTGGGCTGGGAGAAAGCCCTATGCTTTGGGGTAAGAATGTTGAGTTCTGAGCAGCACCTGAAGAGAGAGAGAGACTGGGATATAGAGGGTGGGACTTTCTGAGGCTAAAGCCTTTCAAACCTGACTATTTAAATGCTTTGGCTGGGCTTCTGCTTACAGCGGGAAGTGGCCCTGACTGACCAGGTATGGAGGACCAGGATAAAACAAACTCTCCCTAGACTGCATTTCCTCGTTGCAGTTTTACCCAGTTTTTTCTTGGTGTGACACATTCACACATGCTTCTCAGGGTGTTTGTGAGAAGGTTGGCATTAATCAGAGATCACATTTTCCTGGTCACTGATTCCTGCACCTCTCAGCTGCACCTCAGCATGGGAAATGCCTGCACGTGTGAGTAGTACAGGGGATGCTGAGTCAGCCTACCACCTCCTCCACTCTGCGAGACCCTCCTCTCCTCCCCTACGCCCTGCCCTCTGCTGTGGGAAGTTCCTACACTCATGTTCTGACAGAAGCAGGGCCGCCCAGTCTCGTTCTGGCAGAAGGATCCACGCTGAGTGTGTGCGGAATCATTCATGTCCCATCACTGCGCCTTCTCAACTTTGAGAAGTTACCAGTTCCTCCTGCCTCTGTGCCAGTTTGAGTGCAATAAGTACTTCAGACATTGCCTGGACCAGTTCTGTTGTTGGGACTGCCAGGCAAGGACCTTAACTCTGGCTCTACTAAATACTGACAGTTGGTTGCTAGGAAGCCAGGCTCTAAAACCAAGTCGTCTCTGAGTTGGGGTTTTCAGATGACCAGTCCGCAGGTAGAGAACTGATCCTTGCACCACAGCCATTAACAGGCTTCAGGCCCTAGCTGGTTTGGCTCAGTGGATAGAGCATCAGCCTGTGGACTGAAGGGTCCCGGGTTCGATTCTAGTCAAGGGCACATGCCCGGGTTGCAGGCTCAATCCCCAGTAGGGGGTGTGCAGAAGGCAGTCGATCAATGATTCTCTCTCATCACTGATGTTTCTATCTGCCTCTCCCTCTCTGATATCAATAAAAACACCTTTAAAAAAAAAAGAAAACAGGCTTTAGAACATGGGGCTCTGAGCGCCTCAAGGCAGGCGGTCTGCCAGCGCAGGAAGTTGAACCTGGGCCCGGGCTGGTGGCATGGAGCTTTGCAGTCTGGTCCTTCCACTGAACAGCACCAGGTAGGTGTGAATTCCGTTGGAACAGCTGTGGGAGCTGAAAAGTTCTTTAGGGCAGGGGCTGTGAGGGGTTTTTGCAGGGAATCGGGCAGCACTACCAGCCTTTTCTGGGGACACGTGGATGGGCTGCAGGCACACCATCCCAAGTCCTCTCCTGCGGGGCATGCCCACCATTCCTTCACGGGAAGAAAACACCCGACAGCGGAGTTGCACCGGCACTGTCCTCAGCGTCTAGCGTTTATTTCACGAGTCCTCGGGGATTCGTTACCTGATCAGCAAGGAAACCAACTGTCTCTGCATCGGTCTCTGTGCTGTTTCCTGACTCCCTTCCCTCAGAGCTGAGGAGGCCTGCATGGGGCACAGGCACCAGCATGGCTTTGCTATTCTCAAGGCAGGAAATAAATATCTAGGTCGGCTGGGTAAGGCAGAAGGCTGGTACCTCTGGGGCCTGGCCCTCGTGAGCATGAGAAGTAATGTGGTCTGGGCAGGTGAGACGGGAAGAGCATGGGGGACGGGCAGTTGCACACAACGACCAACCTGCCCTGGGTGCCACGGACCACCATGCTCGAGATCCAGGGCCCAAAGGCCTGTCCGAAAGCACGTGAGCAAGGGCAGGTCTTCCCAAGCCACTGTGCTGCCTCCCACCCATCCCACCTGCGACTATTGACAGGAACCCAGGGAAGGACACCAGGTGTTTGCCAGGGTCAAGTGATGGAGGCAGGAGACCAGTGCAGGTGGGAGTGATTGAAAGCCACTTGTCAGAACCAAGGAGCAGCCGACCAATCAGCCTGCTCTTCCAAGGAGTCAGAGTCTTCGCAGACTGGACCCACTCTGGCAGGATGAGGGCTAGTTGCACTGAGCTCAGGAGAACCCAGGGCGTCCGTAGGCACCTGCCTCCCTAATGAGCTACGTCCATTAACAGCAGCGCTGTGCTCTTCCAAAGTCAGCGCCCGCGAACCAGAACCCGGAGTGGGGCTCCGAGGTGAAAGGCACGGGCTTGTACTGGATACACTTGTGCTCAGGGCCAGGGACCTACTCAAGGTGCAGCAGAGGGGGGGAGGGAAGGGCATCGCAGCGCAGAGGTCCTGAAATTGGCACCCCGACCCTGGGGCAGCTTAGGCCAAAAGCCCCCAGAGCACAGAGGAGAGAGGGCACTTGGGGGATTTGTGCTTAAATTACGGACTCCCTTCCTGCTAACCGGCACCTACAAACTGGAGAAGTGCGAGTTGTCTGTGAAGATCTTCAGAGTGTGGGACGGTGTTAGGTCACCATGAGGCCAGCTTTTGACCCCACCATGGGAGTCACAGCCAGTGCCTCACCAGGTGCAGGTGGCCGGGGGCCTCTGCTCCTCTCCCCACGTGCTCTGCACACTCCAAGGCAAGCCGTCCCCATGCAGGGATCTGGTCCCAGAGGACCCCGTTTCCAAGTGTGGCTCCCCTGGATTCACAGAGTGGCTACCTGGCACCCTCACAGGCAGCACTGTCCCCTGCAGACCGTGGCTGGCCTCGGGCCTTTGTGCCAGCCTTCCGGTCGCGCAGCTACAAGCTGGGAAGGTCAGATCTTGGGCCGCCAGCCTTTGATGAACTGCATGATCTTCTTGACCTGAAGCTTGGTGAGGTGGAAGTCGTCAGCCAGGATGTCCTCACTGAGCTGCACAAAGATACTGCCATCAATACGTTCTCGGGCAAAGAAGCTCACCACGTCCTCGGAGAGCCCGATGAAACGCAGACTGCGAGAGACCTCCTCCAGAGAGAGCGCAGACAGGTCGGCGGGGGGCTGCCAGGAGGCCTCCCGGCCTCCCCAGCCTGTGACGCCCTCCCGGGGACTGGCAGGAGGCCCTTCCAGGCGCCCTTGGGTGAGAAGGAGGCGTGCTCCACCTGCCTTGGGCCCCTTCGGGGCCGCTGGTGACAGTGGAGTGGGGACCTGCCGTAGCACTAACCCTTCAGGCTCAAAGGCCTTGGGGGGTCCAAGAGGTGAAAGGCGGGGTCCAGGCCCAGGTACCCCCACAGCTCTGGGCTCCTGACAGCGCAGCAACTCCGGCTCTGGAGAACCACCCTGCCCCAGCTCAAAGGGATCAAAGGGCTCCAGGGCCGATTCCTGCCACTCAGAGGAGGAGGAGGAGGAGGTGGGACAGGAGGAGGTGGGTGCAGCCGAATAGGCCGGGCCTGGGGAGCCTGGGCCTGGGGAGCACGCAGGGCTGGAGGTAGCCAGGGTGGCCGAGACGGTCGTGGGCCCCGAAGAGGGGGCCGCTGAAGGGCCTGAGGAGTAGGCAGGCCCGGAAAAGGGGTTGAGGGCTCCAAACGGAGCAAAGCGTTTCTGGGGGTGAGAGGGCTTGAGAAGTGGTGGCGGGCAGCCGTGGTAGGTCTTGACAGGGGTGTCAGCCCCCAAGAGGGAGGCAGCTCGACTGCTCAGGGGCTCTGCGAGGGCCCGTGGGGCCTGGCTGGGCTGCGTGGTGGAGGGCAGGGGTCCCGGCGGTGGCGGGCGGCTAGAGGACTCGCCCACTTTGCAGTCTCCCCAGGTGCACGGGTAGCAATAGAGGGAGTAGGCATCTGGTGACGGGGAGCCACTGCCACTGCGGGAACCCGTCCTGTGGGCAGAGAGACAGACACATACGGAGGGTAAGACAGAGCAAGAGGGAAACACGACAGGTCACACCCATGGCCCTGCAAACCCCCACTCTGCTGGCCACAGAGGCCGCCACTCCGATCTCGGCAACACAGGCCCGTACCCCAGCCCTCAAGGCCCGGGACCTCTGGGGTTGCTTCATTCTTTCTTCAGGCATCCCCAACCCCAGGAAAAAGTCAATGAAACTGAATTACGGAAAAAATTTTAAATAGCAGGGAACACTTCATCCTGGGGCAGAGTCCCCGCCTGGAAGGAACCAGCGCAATGTTCCCGTCCAATCCTCACATTTAGGAAAGCAGCCAACTGAAGCAGGACCGTGGAGAGCAGTGACTGGGCCCCGGCCCCCCACCGAGTGTCCTCCCCCCCAGCACTGCTCAAGGACCTGCACCCTTTGAACCCGCAGCCTGCAGTCTTCCCTTCCTCAGCCTGGACTCCCTTCCTCTTTCCCCTGCCTCAACCCACCACAGGAGAACCGGGGCCAGGAGCGGAAAGGGGCTCACCCATCCTGCAGGCCAGAGGAGTAGTAGGAGAGGCTGGAGCTGGGCGAGTGGACAGGCTGCAGCTTGGGGAAGCGTGGGGGCACTGGGGGGCTGCCAGGGAGCCAGCCGCTGCCATTGCCACCCCGGGGAGGCACGGGCGGGGCGTTGAGAAGCCGGCACTCCTCCTTCACCTGCAAGCAGAGGGCATGACTCCACCTCCGTCCCCAGGCAGCTGACCTCCTTCTTTCTCTTCCCGAACAACTAACTCTGAGACTCTTTGCCCCACTTTGCCAAGAGGCTGCCTGGCCTCACGCCCCACCTCCTCCACCAGCCACCTACCCTACCCACCCCACCCCTCCTCCTCTCTCCAGCCTGTTTCACTTCTCAAGAGCCCACAACATACACAGTCTTCTACTGCCTTGGAAATCTATAAAGGATGTCAGAAAAAGAATATAGAAAAGTAGATTAAAAAAACAATCAGAAAGCCCTCGCTGGCTTGGCTCAATGGATGGAGCATCAGCCTACAGACTGAAGGGTCCCAGGTTCGATTCCGTCAAGGGCGCATGCCCGGATTGCCGGCTCCATTTCCAATGTGGGGTGTGCAGGAGGCAGCCGATCAATGGTTCTCTCTCATCATTGATGTTT